CAGCAGCCCCTCCCCCCGCCGCGGCTCTGGCCTTGGGGAGGGCCGGGTGGAGCCCTGTTTTGGTTTGCTCCGTTGCTGAGATAGGGCCGCGCGGGTGCCCTTGCTGCGGGGGCTCTCGCGAGGTGCCATGGCAACTTTATCGTCCTTCTGCCTATCTGCAGAGACGGGGAGGGGAACCGCAAGGGAGAGGCACTGAGATGCTCTCTGTCCATCCCCCCACCTGATGCCACATCTGGAGCTTTAGAAATGTGCTGAAACAGCAGCTTATTGCTGTGGCTGAGTCCCTGGGATCCGTCAACTAGGTACCTTGGCGTCGTCTCCCTGGCCAAGACGGGTGACATCCCGGCCGGTGTGTGGTGGCCCCTGCAGCACCTTTAGCACCTTTAGCTCAGGCAGAGCTGCCTCAGGTGGCACAAGACACCGAGCTGCTGAAAGTCTCTTCAGGGATGTTCATTCAAGCTCAAGTCCACTCTTTGCCCCAGCTCCTGGCTCAGACCAACTACTTGTCACATGGAGGAAAAAAGCCAACTAGGGCAAGCCATTGAAATAAAAGCAGGAGTGAGCAGAAGCTCTAGCCGGTGCCTGCGTTTCAGCCACAGCCCAGGCCAGCCCGCTCACGGGCTGGTTCCCCTTGGAGAGCCAGCACAGTCCACCCTGCCTGAGGACAAGTCTCAGCAAGGGGGGCAGCCCCAGGGCTTCAAGGCTAAGGCTGATGGCTAAGAGGCAGGAGGCTTGAGGGTCGACCTCCAGCCCTGCCACTGCTCCACTCCACGTCCCTGGGGGAGTTGCTTCACCTCCACGGGGCTTCAGGAAAGATGAGGAATCATGGTGGGGTCTGCCAGAGCAGCGTGTTGGGATGGAGGGTGAGGTGGATGGAGGGAAAGGAGAAGGTTCATTGAAGGGACAGAAGGAGAGAAGGATGGATGGGGAAGAGGAGATTGGAAGAGGAGGATAACTGCAGATTTCTTAGCCTCTCCACAGTTGGTCTAACCCTCAAGACATGTGGTCTCTGTGGGGCTCTCTCCATGCTATTGCCCTGGGGTTGAGGTGAAAGCCCATGCTGGCAGCAGGAGGTCAGCAGGATCCCTTCTGGGACACGCAGGAGGCAACCAACTACCGCCTGGCGCTGGAGCGGATGGCAGACGACATCCTGTCCCTCCGCCAGCACGTCGCAAGCCTGGAGGTGGAGAACAGCAACCTGCGGCGCAGCCTCGCGATGCACGAGGACCCGGGCCGCACACTGCTCAGCGACATTGACGTGGACGTCATGACCAGGGCGGAGATCCTGGACAGGATTGGTACAGGCAGCGAGGGGGACGGGAGGGTGGCAGTGAGAGATGCTGCTCCCTGCCTTCCTGTCTGTGCATCCTGGGGGCCAAGGGTTCCACACGCTCTCTTGCAGCCACCCTCAAGTGCAAGCTAGCATCTGGCACAGTGGAGATGAGGAGTCTGAAGGACCGTGTGCAGCAGCTGCAGAATGAACTGATTCGGGTAGAGATACCAGAGGGTTTTCCAGGTGCCGGGAGCGGGGAGGGGAGGTGCAGAGCGGTGTGAAGTCCAGGGCATGTGGAGGGGCTGCAAGCTGGAGGTGCTGAGGCTGTGCACAGCCCCTGCAGCCTCGGGCACCCGCCAGAGCAGAGATGGAGGACCAGGATGGACTGGATCCCAGCAGCATCAGCAGCTCCACTATGAGGCTGTCACTCCCTGTCCTTGCACCCTAACCTCTGAGGGCCAGGAGAGCCAGAGAGGAGCCCCGAAGCTTGAGGCACAGCACAGATTCCCCTGGCTGCTCGTTCTCTTCCTTTCCACTAGAAAAATGACCAGGAGAAAGACCTGGTGATGCTCCAGAGAGCCCACCAGCAGCAGCAAGCTGTGCTGAGGAGATACGAGGAGAAGGTGGCCAAGATGAAGGGCCTGGAGGAGACAGTGAGGCAGCAGGAGAAGGTGAGTTGGGGCAGGCTGGGGGCAAGAGGTGCAGAGGGGAGAGCATGAGGCTGGGCAGCCCAATAGATGCTGCCAGTCCCCAATGTCCCCTTCTGTATCTTGGGAAAAGGCTGCAGACCTGTGCTGGGAAACCCCAACTATTGCCTCCAGGGAGATGGCTGGGCACAAGCCACCCTGGAAAGCCCAGAGCGAAGGTAAAAGAGGGTAAGAGGGAAAATGCTGCCCTGGTCAGACATCGGGGCAAACCAGCAGGGAGAAGAGATCCCAGAGAGGGGCACAACCACTTTCATTTAATGCCTGCAAGCCTCATGTCTTCAAGATTAGGGACGCCCTCCCTCTTCAGCCAGGTCCCACATTCAGCGCTCCTGAGGCAGGGAGGAATAGCGGGGGCGAAGGGATGCAGTGGGACCCGTCCCCTGCCCGACGAGAGGGCTCTGCTCTCTCCCGCAGGTGATTGAGACGATGGAGCGGATGCTGGAGGAACGGCTCTCCGAGGCGGGCAGGAGCACCCAGAAACCGGCAGGTGGGTGCAAACAGGGCCACGAGGAAGGGGCCCCTTGGGGTCCCCCAGCCCCACACAGGCAGAGAGAGCACTGCAGCTGGGCCTGGGTCTCCCATGGGGCTGCCTGGGGGATGGCTGGTCCCTCCTGGTGCCCATGATGTGTACCCCTGGGAACCGCCGGGTTCGGCAGGGGGATCCCTGTGGCCACCGCGACCCCCCTGCTCCGGTCCCACAGGCGAAGCCCTGGCCAGGGAGCTGTACGACCCCCGGTCGCTCCGCCGCCGCAAGCCTTACCGGTGAGATTGGGGAGCAGCATGAGGGCTCAGGGACAGGGGGGCAGAGCCATGGTACCCGGCATCGCCGAGAGAGCGGGCACCTGGCAGTGGGACACAAGCCTGGGGCCACCCTGCTTGGCCAGTGTGGGTCGGGTGCCTCTCCGTGGGGTGACAGCACAGCCGTGAGCATGCGGATGAGAAGGGAGGTGACACTGCTTTGCGTTTCTGTTTGTTTTTTCCCACCCACAGGATGTCTTCAGCGGCTCGGAGAAGGTGTCTCTGCTGGCCAAATTGGAGAAGGAGCAAGCCCGCAGCCGTGTCCTGGAGAGCCAGGTGAGCCTCGCTCACTCTGCCAGCACCTTGTCCCTCCCCGCTCTGACACCGTGCACCTGCGGGCACTCCTGGCTGACTACCCTTGACCGCTGCAGCCTCCATCCCCATAACCTCTGCCCTGAGTATCCCCGATCTCTGTCACAGCTGGAGGAGGCCTCAAGGAGGTGGGGACGGGAGAAGCAGGAGCTCAGCACACGCTTGCTGGAGCAGGACCACGGCTTCAGGGGTTGGTCCTCCAGCTTCGCCCATGACCTGGCCATGGTGAGTGCCTGGCACTCAGGCCCCCACGTGCAGGCACTGACCAGCCAGACCAGCCCGCACTAGCCAGAGATTGCCAAGCTAGGAAATAAGAGGTATTCCCATTTCCCACCAGAAAATGCCACTGGACCCCACGGCTCCTGTGAAGAGACACCAAACACTGGACCCTCTGCCCTAGCGCACGGCAGAACTGGAGCAGTGAGGCTGTGGGAGGTGTTTCTGCTGGTCTGTGGCTGCCCTTGATCTCCCCACCCTGGGACACGCTTTGCACAGGACTCTGGAGAAAGATTCAGAAATGTACTGTTCATGCTCATGAAGAGTATCCAGTGCTTTTGCTGCATGACTAAGTTACAGAGCAAATCAGAGGGGAAGCAAAACATTAGCAGATCTCAGAGCAGCAGGACAGCTGGTCCCCGCATGGTCCAAGCAGCACGTTCCCCCAGCCTCTGGGGACGTGCGGAGGAGCCCCGAGGTCTGGGGGTGCCTCAAGCAGCTATGGCAGGGAGCCGGCAGTGCCTGGCAAGGCTGGGTGGGCTGGGGAAGGAAATCACCCCCGTCATGCCTCCCTCTGCTGCCATCCCACACCCTGTCACAGAGCAGACCCCTTTTCCATGGTGAACATAAAAGCAGGGAGGGCTGAGACATGGGAGCCCCTGAGCCCTGGCAGGGGATGTGCCTCGGGGCTCCTTGCCCAGCGTGAACCACCCCAGGGCACAGGCGATGCTGAGATTAGGTTCCTCTGCTTTATCTCCCCAGTGGCGTAAGCGCAGCCTTGAGTGAACTGGAGCAGAGGCAGGGGGCACAAAGCCAAGGCTGTAGCCGTGAAAGCTTCACAGCTTTCTCCCAAATCATATCCTTTTGCTGGAGTCTTATTGTAACATCACAGGGAGCTTTCCAGGATGTAAAGCATGTGCCAGGCTGTCAGAGACATGCAGGCGCGATTCCCCTCTAACTGGGACCAGCTCGGTCCAACACCTGCTGTCCTAGCCCAGTCCCAGGATCTCCAGGGAATGGACTCTTCTGCCCCCTCAGGCCTGGGACTCCAGAGGCCTCAAGGTGAGGTGGATGGGTTTGTCCGGGATCAGGATGAGATCAAACTTGGTCCCGACTTCCACAGCCCTCTTGGTTTCAATCTTGAAGTTCTCCAGCATCTGGAATGGAGGGAAAAAGCAGGTGGAAAATGCCAAAGATGAAAATATAAGGAGGTCCCAAGGGCCAGACAGGGGCTGGTTTCCCTCACTGTTGGTTTCGGCTCTGCACAGGGCTTTGCTGGACTGTGTACTCAGCTCTTCATCACCTTTTCCCACTGCAAGGTACTGCTGACACAACCAAGTTGTCCCCACGGAGCGTGTGAGCCCTCCCCAATCCCTGTCAGTGCAAAGTCAGCCTGCTCCACTGACCATGTCCAGCACTGGGATGCGGACTGCACCTCCTCGTAGCAGCAGAGAGCTCAGTGGTGAGGGTGGCAACAGGATCCATGACTTCTCTGCTCCACAGCAAGGTTGTTAGAGCGTGCCCTGGGCTATACCAAGTCCCTCAAGGGTGCAACGTCTGAGCATCTTGCAGCCTTCGATCCCTTTCCCCTCTCACTGGGAGAGCCTCCAACCAGGCACTGAGCCCTAACTCTGCCCAGCAGTGCCCATCTGCGGGAGTCAACGGGCTGCGGCAGTGACCCAGCCTGCTCCTCTGAAGCTGCGGAGGGAGCAAGAGGGTTCCCCCCCATAGTGGCCTAGTTGCCCTGACTCTCCCCCACGGCAGCTGGGCTCTGCTGGCAGCAAGCTTACGTGGATGAGGAAGAGCTGCATCTCCAGCTCGGCGATCCTGCGGCCCAGGCACTGGCGCGGTCCAAATCCGAAGCCCAGGCCCTTGAAGTATTTTGAACCCGTTGCCAGCCAGCGCTCAGGGTTGAACTGCTCTGGCTTGGGGAAGACCTTAGGATCCCGGCCCATGGCGTAAAGCCCGACCTGCACCAGCGTCTGTGAAGGAGTGAAGAAGGATGAGCCCCACGGCCTCCCTGCTGCTCTGCAATCCCCTGCTGTGGCCACGTGGCTTCATCTGTGCTTTGGAAACCAGCAGTGCCAGGGCTGTGTGCGGTGGGGAAAGGTGGTGCTGGGCTGGGCCCCCTCCCTGGCCACAGCCAAGCACCATGGCTGCCTCACCAAGTCACCAGGCTGTGCCCAGCATCCCAGATCTCCTGGGTCCCACCTCCATTCAGAGTCACTTCTAAAGCAGAGAGGGGCTGAGGAAAGATTCTGGTTTTATGCTCCCTACATGCCTCTCCTCCAGGCCAGGCTGCTCACCTTGGGGGGGATGCAGTAATCCTGGAGGACGACCTCTTGTGTGGTGTATCTCTGCAGGGTCACTGCCACAGGGTGGAGCCTGGGGGAGAGGGATAGTCAGGGGAGGTGTCCAAGAGGCCACCCGTGTGCCGTGGTAGCTGCTGGAGGATCCCCATGCACCAGGTGGGTGTCAAGTCCAAGAAGGATGGTATGACCAGGGGAACACGGGCCCCTCCCCCCATCTCATGTGTCCTCTCTGCAGTGTAAAACCCTCACTGACCACTGATTGTGCACCTTTTCCAGACTGAGCCTTGCAAACTGCTTCCCGGTGACACCAGAGTGACCCGTTCACCACTTTGGAAAGGTGCCCTGGGGCAGTAGTGATCTGGGTCAGTGTTGGACATGGGTTGGTGGCTCTCTTTCACAAGGATCAGCTGCAAGACACCCTACCACAGGAGCTCATTCTCCTTGGACAGCAGGGAGCTGGGGAAGCGTGAGTCCCAGGCATGCTGTGGGATTCCCATGGTGAAAGGGAACCAGAGATTTGGGGAGTAAGGGGAGGAGGGTTGTTCTTGTGCCTTGCGAATGGGGGAGAATCAGCTACTGCCTCCTGATTACCTGAGTGTTTCCTTGATGGTGGCTTTGAGCAACCGGATGGTTTTCAACATCTTCACCCTGTCTCCCTCTGTGTCCTGCTTGGCGGCCAAGATCTCTGCCCTCAGCTGCTCCTGAATGCCTGGGGAACGCGCTAGCTCGAACATGGCCCACTGGAGTGTCATGGAGGTCTGAAACAGGGCAAAAGGGCCAGAGCTCAGAGCTGCCTGGGACCTGACCTCCAAACAAGTCCTACCTGGTCCTTACCGTGTCCACTCCTCCTGCCATCATCTCCGTGATGCTGGCCTTGATGTCATCCAGGGGCAGCTTGTCCTGCATGAGGAGGCTGGAGAGGATGCCCGTGTACTCCTTTGTGCTCTTGCGGTGCAGCCGGAGGTCTCGGTAGACATTCTGAATGCATTTGTCCGCTGAGGAGACACAGAACAGGTACTGTGCTGAGCACCCTGCAGAAACCCAGCGAAGTCTAGGCCTGGCCGGGGGCTCACAAGCTGCCCAAGCAGGACCACAGGTGCCCTAGGCACGGTGCTAGTGCTGCAGGTGCCAAATGCACCGTAGGAGATTGCTGCCCCCCAGACCAGAGGTGGCTTTTCCATTGGAGTTGCCCTTGCAGCAGAGCACTGGCTGGGCGGGCACAAGAGGATGGGTGGTGAAGGTAAGGTGAGGCACCTTAGGTCCCTAAGGTGATACACCCTGCAGGAGGTTTTTAGCAGGTGCCAAAATCTCTCTGATCCCACAATCCCCTCCAGGACAGCTGGATCTGCTGTTCTCATCAAAGTGATGCCCATACTGTGCCCTTCATCTCTCCCGGGTGGTTGCCAGTTGTTCCAACCCCACTAGCTCTTGTTGGGTAGATCCCTCTCGGAAAGCCTTCCCAGCCTTGGTGGCCCTGCAGTCTCCATGCAGTCCCTGAGCTGGGCAGCTGGCCCCAGGAGAAGGTTTCCATGCAGGTCCAATGAGGATAGGCTCTCGAGTTTGTCCCCCCTCCCCAGGCAACACACAGGGCTGGCGCTCCCAGCATGGAGGTGCAAGGAGGAGGAACACTCACCTTGCGTGAAAATGGCATCCCACGCTTGGACATGGTCCCGCCACGTCTTGGCATTGAGGCGGCGGAGCAAAGCCGGTGGGACATAGAGCATGAGCGAGGTGGTGTGGAACATGAGGGTCACGGCGTCGATGAAGTGCTGTGCCTCAGGGTCCACAAAGTCCTGCAGGAGGCCAAGCCTCTCCCCGTACAGGACGTGGCACACAGCTGCAAGCACAGCACAAGTGAGGGGCCTAGGCCCTCTGGCAAGCCCGATTCCATCCCCCTGCAGCCTCCCAGGGCCCTCCTGCCCTGTGAGGGCTGCCTCCAGCCTTTCCACAGCTAAGGGGTCCCCTGGCCTGTCCTCTTACGTCCTCTGGCTTCACAAGACCATGGAGGCATCCCCTATGGGGCAGAGCAGGGCTAGCAGTTGATGACCCTCCCGTAGATGATAAAGAGCTGTCCAGCTGTAAAAGTCTCAGCTGGATCTTGTGTGAAGCCAAGAAAGGTGTAATGTCCATCCTGGAGCGGGGAACTAACCCCTCCACACAGCACCCATGTTTGCAGAGAGCACGTCCCTCTAGACCCTAAGTTCTTGGGGCAGAAACACGTCTGGCCATTCTGAGGAGGAGACTGGGGGAAATGCATCACATTGCCTGTGTCAGGCACCATGGAAAGGCACAGTTCAGAGGGAACATCTCTCCCAGAGAAGCTCAGCCCAGGTTTTGGCTGCGTCAGAGGTCCAGAGCACTCACACTCCAGGGCAAAGCGGAAGAGCTCGTTGGTGAAATCGGCCGTCCAGCGCTCCCGGCCGCTCTTCTTGATCTGTGCTCGGGCCCGCTGCACAAAATCCTCCCCGACCTCACTCAGCAGGGGCACGAAGCAGTCCATGACATGCGGCGCCAGCACCTCCTTGTTCAGGGTCAGGCGGTCCGAGCGCCAGGCCTCCCCCGTCCTGTGAGACACAAGGGAGAGCTCTCAGGAGCAGCAGGCACTTGCTTCCCCGTTCCTCCCTCTGTCCTCATAGGGCACCCATGACCCGTTCCCCCAAAGTCAGTGCCACCTGGGGCCCTCTGATGCCCCCAGCCACCATCCCGGTGCTCTGGCATCCTACCATCCCGTGTGCCAAGGTGTTTCTACCCTGGTGGGTCCCAGCAGGGCTCTTGAGCAGAGCAAGTGGTCCCCATTTCCAGGGGTGAGGAGGGAACCTGCTGGCCAGGTGAGGCTGCACTCCCCCAAGTGTCCCTCACCAGCCTTCCCCACCTCCTCACTCACTTGAGGAGCACTCCATAAGGCTTGTTGCGGAAATCCCGATAAGCCACCCACGGTGGCACGCTGAACCTCTCTGGCAGCATGCCCTCAGACTTGAAGAGTGTGGCAGCATCGTGGGGGCTGATGATGTTCACGCTCTCATAGACACCCAGCTTCTCCCTGCAATGGTCGAGACAAGATCAGGCATATGAACACCACCTCCTGCCTGGGTCCATGTCAGGGTTTGCAGCCCCTCCGTTTGCAATGTGACTGTCATACCCACCTCCCCAAATCCGCAGGTCACCTCATGACACCCCCCAGCTGCCCTGCCTATGGACTCAAGCACAGCTGCTCAGCACCAGCCAGGATCCAGCCCTCAGGGCTCCGGCAAGCACAGCTGGAGGTGCTGGGGCAGAGACCTCCCTGAGTTAAATCCTTCAGGGAGGAATTTGGCCCAGAGGAAGATTTTTAAGGAGTCAGGAGAGAGCAGGATTTCAACGTAAAGCTGTGGCTGACCTGAACCAATGCAATGCCCTGGCTATCTTTGGAGCTACTCTGATTTACACCTCTGACAGATGTGCCCCATACCCTTGGGTCAAAACGTATGCCTGAACAGTGTCGTTCCTTGCTTGGGGCATCAGGGAACATGCCAGTGCTAATGCAGCTAATGTCCCTCTTTCAGCCCATCTACCTGAGGGTGTTGGTACTGCAACCTACAGAGATCAGAGGGGCAGTGGAGGGGGCATAGAGACCTTCTCCAGCCCTGCTTCTGCTTCCTCCTAACATCCTTCCTATCATCTGCACCCACAAGGCATTAGCTGAACCTCTGCAGACCCTGCTGTGGCCCCTTTGCACTGCATGAGCACCCGCAGCCCCCGTGCGGTGCAAGGACTCCCACCTCTCCCCGTGCTGGGTGCTGCACACTCATGCAGACACCTCCTGCCCTCTGCAGCCTCCTGCCTAACCAGCTGGTGGGCCAGGGCAGGAGAGGAGTCACGGGCACAGCAAGGACCCAGAGGGGCCCAGGGCAGAGCTGGGAATCCCTTAAGGTCCCCGACCTTCTGACTCGGACTGGCTCCAAGCAGCTGGCAGTGGGACAAACCACGGCTCGGAGGAGACCCCACTCAGCACCTTACCTGTAAATGGGACCAAACTCCTGGAACTTGCGGGCCATGATGTTGTGGATGTTGTGAAAGCCGCCCTCCTGCCAGAAGCGGTACAGGTTGAGC